GATGGTGTGGAAAAAGAGTTAGAGGAATAGAGTTTATATACAAGACAAAGTCTCTCATAGTATTGGCTTTGAAGCAAAGACAATGATTAATTTTAAAAACCAAGTACGACGTCTCTGAGTCTTCACGGTTGGATCTTTTCTTAGTTATGTCTTTTGCTCTAAGCTTGCCATTTTCCAACAAATTAGCATCACTTTCAGACAGTTAATTTTATATTAAAATATCCAAAGAGAGGATTGATAAAACAAAGTTAAGAGCTAGAAAATTTTTGTGGAATTTATACTGCTCTTGATATTTTTTGGTTGCATACAAATGAGATTATATAGTAGAAGAAACCAATACAGAAGAACAAATGTGAATGTACCCTACACGAAATACAAAACCGCAATCGTTCAAAAGCTTTATATCTCTGTACTAAAATGATGGCGGTTTTCTTTGGCATATGAAGTTTAGAGATCTTTCTTTACTATCGTAGCTTTCCAGCGGAATGCAAGTATACTGAAACAGAGACGACCCTGCAATGTATAAAACACAGCAATGCATATTAAGATAAAACCTTTACATCATCAGCTATTATGTCTATAAATGTTGGCTGCTTTCGATATGAAAAGTTGAGATGATTATATTGGAAGAGGCAAATGTGTTTTGCTTACGTTGAACCTAGGAAGAAGGCTAGGGAAAGATGAAAATTGAAGAGGAATACAGAGACGACCGCGGTGAGAAGCATCGCCACTGATGTCGAATAAACCTACATACCGGTTTGATAAAGTTAAATCCCGTGAAACAAGAGTGACTACTTAGAGGAATCTGCTGGCGAATGAAGGTGCATTTGCAAATCTACTACCTTTACAATATTGTCTGCATATTTCATCACCATCGACACAGCAATGCCACTGCAAAACAAACAATAGAAGATTGTTTGATGTGTTAACTTCACTAACTTAAATTAGAGATAAGAGAATAGTCTGGCCTCTTAAGTAGCTTTTTACCTGAGAGCATGGTTAAGAATCATAAGTACTGTGATGAATGAGTAACCATGGAAGAATCCCCTGAAAATGGAAAACCGGCCCGTTCAATACCAGAGCAGGTGCGAAAACAGCATGATAACTCAGCCAGCAGAAAATAATGAGTGGCATAAAGTAGTATTTTCTTTAAGGTACATAAAGAGTGGGGAAATCTCAATGGAGACGCACACAATCAACCATATGTACTAATTTGTACCAAATATGAAAGGAGGCAGGTAAGAAGATGGTTTTTGGATTTACTTATTTGCAACGGCATCGAAATCTTGGATCACTATAGCAATAGCATTGAAAGCCATCCCAAAGACATATAGCCAGAAGTTCTGTACATTTATATTCCTTGAAGGCCGCTTTTTAATAATTGCCTGCCAAAATGGAAAGAAAACCCCTTATCAGCTTTATAAAACATAAATTATCAATGGAATGACCAAACTATACGGTTTAAACAACAGAGTGAATCAGTGTTACACACAAACAAAATAGCAAAGCAGTGATGTGCTAGCTTTGAGAATTTAAAGTACACAGTCCTAATAAGCTCACCTCTGTGTACACTCCAGCGAAACCACTTAAAAGAGCCATGACCTAGAAACGCCAACGAATGATTATATCAATTAGTGTGGACATGGAAGATGCTTCACAACTCTTAGTAGGTAATTAGCATGCTAAGGTGGCTACCAACTTACAATCGCCATAATCCAGCCAGGAAGAGATGTCTGAAGAACACGATCAGAGCTACAAAAGCAATTTCAAATATGAGACTATGAAAAAGAAAACCAGTAGAAGCCTCAAAGTTCGCAGAGCCAAAAAAAATATAAGCCTTAAAAAATGAGCTTGCATTCATTTTATCCATCACACGCAAGAATCAATGAAGCTCATCTTGATAGCAATCAATAAAATCAAAGGGGAAAGAGTCAGGAGCCAAATTTACTTTGAATTCAACTGAGCAGTGGTGCATCCACAACATAATAAAATGAAACCCGCCCACTGAATCTCGCTCAATCTGTTAGCAAAAGATAGTAAGCAAACTGATTAAACAGCGACTCTCCACACTTGAAAGAATTGTGGGGAATATAAAACGGAAAACTTATGGATTCCACGATCAACTATTCACTGAAAAATATGAAATCCATTTGGATGAAACAGACAACCTACTTTCTCTTTAGTATAATTCTGTACAAGACACCAGTACTAATGATGTTCAAGTTCTTCAATATCTGGTACCCCGGAGCGTCTACGTATGCAAAAATATAGTACTGCCACATAAAAAGGAGACACCACAAGTAGTTACATACACATCAACATGGAAAACAGAGGTTACAAACATCTGACATAAGCCACACAAACAAACAAAAAACTCAGGAAATCCCACCTGTAACAGATTCTTGAAAAGATACAATGCCGCAGGAATCGGATATACTTTGACTTCGTCGTATGTTGTGCTTAATCTGATCCAGGCACAGAAATTGAGTATCAGTAAAGGCAGAAACTCGACGAGCAATCTATGGTCATTTTCAAAGATATAGATGAGAAGTGATTCTATGCAACTAAAGCCTTAACAAACGGATAGAACTACAAAATAAGCTCGACCTCAGAATTTATAGGAAACTAATTGAACATGATACTCATGGCAATTTCCCTGAAACCAAAGCACATCGAGTAGCAAAAGAATACGTAATAACCTATTGTCGTCAGTAACACCTTCGTTTTTCCATATCCTTGTCAACGCAAGCAGAGATAACGCACATTTCAGAGTCTCAACCTGATATCCAAAGATCAAACAAACTCACTATCTTAGCCTGATTTCAAAATTTTGATTCCGAAATGAGAAATTACAA